TACATATTACATATTGGTATTGGGACTAGGACTTTAGATATACAAACCATTTATCCACGGCTAAAACCCACCAGAGCTGTCAACATTCCCACATATGTAATTGACCTGGATTTTGTATATCCTTACCCGCCTCCAATTAACTTTCATATGTTCTCCGCTTCACCCACTTTACCTACTATCTTAACTTCCAAATTGGTGTGTTAATGCTTCAGGTAGGTGCTTTTTGCTTCCAATTTGGTGTATCTAGTTTGTATCCCTACTTGGCGTACTTGTTAGGAGTGTGCCGTTTATTACGTAATTTTTCTTTACTATATAGTAGTACCTCCCTCCCTCCTAGGTGATACTATATTTTAAAACCGTGTTCAATCATATGACTATTGGCCAATCAAATTGTAAAATTATTCAAAATTAAAATTACTCCAACAAAAAATATTAAAAAAAAACTAATCAAATTCAAATAATGCAATTTTAGTATTAACTTGACAATACACTACATAGGTAATTTTGCTAATATGATTAAAATTTGACAAAATACATTAATCTAATTATATAATTCAGAATTTAATTTATAACTATTAATATGCTCACACTAATTTACCCTTTTGGGGGATTCAATTAGAGTGATCGCACCTATACATGCTGTAGAAACTATTGCAGTATAATTTTTACCTGAATTGTGACATGCGGCAATACCTAAATCTAAAATCCATGCTACAACTTATAATCAATGCCTAAATCTAAAATTCATGCCACAACTTATGATCAATGCCTAAAGTCATATCATAAGTGCTAAAAGTAATAAAGTATAATTGATATAGTGCCGAAAGTAATAAAGTATAATTGATATAGTGCCGAAAGTAATAAAGTATAATTGATATAGTACTGAAAGTAATAAAGTATAATTGATATAATGCCAAAAGTAATAAAGTATAAAGTATAATTGATATACTATCGATTGATATACTGTAGTGATGTTAAAAACAAAATGATATATGTTTTGGATTTTGGCTTTTGTTTCGGATTGTGGCATAAATTATGACTTGCGGTTTTTGCTTCGGATTGCAGTATAAATTATAACTTTAGCTGAAAAATTGGTGCCTAATACTTTTGGCATAGCCGAAACTAATTTCTACAGCATGTATAATCGCACCTCATAATAATCACATTTATAAGGCCAAATACTTGTAAATGTCATTTAAAATTTGGGAATATTCATATTCGCGATCCTAACTGGTAAAATTTAATTCGAAACAGATAGATTAAATTAATATTGAAGTTAGATTTCAGTAGTGCAATGATACAAATAAAGAAAAGATTAACATTACCTCGATTATAAAATCAAATTTCATGAATTGTAGAATAAAAGTAGCTTAAACAAATAAATAGAAATTTACCTTTTGATATAAAAGTCCCATTAACTAGAATGTGCTATAAAAAGCGTGTCTATATGCTAATCTCGCATGATAGTATATGATTTTGTCTCATGATTCCAAAGTCAATACGTTTCGAAGCCACTAACCTAAAAGTCAAGTAATGCAATTCATAGTTGCTCATATAATAGCAAACAAGATAAAAGCAGTGATACCAAAATAGTCGAAACTATTGAAAGGCTTAGCAAAAAAAAAATATGAAAATCTAAAATAAATTCGAATAAATCTTCGAATTCATGAAAAAGAAGCAAAAAAAATCTAACAGGAAGAAAATCTAATTAATGGGAAAGAAATATAAAACTAAATAAATTATTTTCCATTACTAAGCTCAAAGCCTCATTAAACTAGAGATCTCATGTTCATAGCATAAAATAGATAAGATTGAAGGCGGTAGAGTTTGTAAAGAAAAAAAAAGGTATAAAAATAAAATTAGTATAAGTATCCCAAATTCAGATTAATAACTCGATAGTATATAGCTTTTTTCTTATCTTTAGTATTAAAAGCACCATTGTTCAAAATGAGCCAAAGTTTTCTTTCCATGCCCAAGTTTCCAAAAACTCATCTATATACTACTCCTAAAATCTTGTACTATGAATTCTGTAATGCCTTCGCCTATTTTACGATGGTTAAAGCTTGTGATCCGAATATAAAACGGCAGGATTTAATGAATGCGGCAAATAAAGAATGGCAAAAATGTCAAAAAGAACCTGAGATAAAAATTAGAAAACTAATTAACCAATATCTTGCAGCAAGTCCACCAATTATTCGGACAGTAAACTTTTTCTTCCTCCTGAATTTACCTAATTCAAGATCGTTGAATTCAAATCCTAATGTTAATTCCAACACCAATTCTAGTACCAATCCTCTACCTTCTTCGTTTAATGAAATGCCTACTATTGCACCTAATGCATCAGCTCAACGTCAAGCTTTGGAATTAATTCAAGATGCAAAATCTAAAATAAGTGAATATGAAACCCTATTGATTCATACTAGTGACAAAGATCTTTGACTTCAAATCAGTAAAAAATTAAAGGATGTTCGTGAAACTATTGCAAAAGAAAAAAAGCATTTTAATTTGCTTCAAAATCGTGCCGCAGCTCAAGGGAGATTTTGAGAAAAGAGAAAAAAACAACTTGAAGATGGGATTGTTGAAATATATAATACTAGAGGACATCCGTCTGAACTTCAAAAAAATCCAGACTTACTTAACCAAATACATGAATGCGTTGAATTTGGTGCGGCTAATAAAAAAAGAAGAAAAACAGTAATAAAGGTTCGAACTATTAAGCATTTAGAAGAGGCATTACAAGAAAAATATAATATTTATATTACTCGACAAACACTTTCAACTTATCTTTTGCCTCGACATGCAATACACGTAATGCACTTCGTCACCGCTATCCTGCGAATATCAAAACTAGTGCAGTTTCTAGGTCTAAGATGAAACCTCATATTGACAAACATTATTGTCTTGCATCAGTTAAATCAGTTAGAGTGTTTGCATCAACTTTTGCCAACTTTAGCCTTATCATCTCGCAAGATAATAAGGCTAAAGTTGGCTTAGGTATACCAGCGGTTGGTAGAACTTTTTAAAGCATACAATCTTTTAATGAATCTGTTACTGTTTCTGATCATGATTTTCCCCGTGGAGTAAAACAAAAACTTATACCTTCAGTTTACCTAATTATTAATCCTAAAAATACTAATGAGTCTCTGCGTCAAGGTCAACTATCTATTTATATTCGTCCTGAATATTTTGTAGAAACTTCTTCAATGACATATATGAAAGACTTACTTGATATTACAAAGCATAATGAGTATGCAGAAATACTAAACATGATGAACATCTTAAGTCTATATGGATTTTGTTAGTAGATGGTGGACCTGACAAAAATCCTAAACATTTAAAAAATATAATTGAATATTGTCACTTTTTTCATGAGCTTAATTTAGACTATTTATCAGTTCAAACACATGCCTCTTACTAGTCTGCGTATAAACCGGTTGAGCGCAGTATGTGTACGCTTTCTGAAAAGCTTGCCAGAATTGAATTACCAGTTGATAGATTTGGATCACATCTTAATAGCCAAGGAGTAGTTATAGATGAAGATTTGGCAAGACGTAACTTTGAATTTGCTAGTAAGTATTTATATGAAATTTGGAAGCATGATAAGATTCATGGAAAGCAAGTATACATTGATTATGTTGACTATAATGAAGACCCATTTCAAAACAATGGAAAAGAAATTCCATCATGGTTGTAGATAGAAAGTCATACACAAATTTGCCGCTACTCCCTCGATATACAAAAGTGCTTTAACCAAAATTGCTGTAATGAAATCTATGCAAAGGAGGCATTTGATCTGTTAAGAGAGAATAATGGATTTCTTCTGCCATTAGTTAAAGAAAAAGATAATCATTATTTGAATCTAATTCATATTTTGCAATATATGGATAAAATGAAGATACCCAACTATGATGAAATATATCCTTCAATTTCGTCGCAGATACATGAGAGGCTTTGTTGCAATGTGTGCAACAAATATTTTTCTACTATGAAAACGATATCCAACCATAAAAAAGCAAATCATCCTAAAAAAAGCACGCAAACAAAATACAAATCAGACCTTTGCACAACCTTCAATCGAATCTACAACTGACATGTTATCCGCTCACTTAATTTATCCTTCAAGTTCCACAATGACATATTTGTCTGCAGAAGAAGTTAATAAAACGTTAGATTCTTTTGATACCCAACAAATTAAATTAAGTAATGCAGCCATTTTGGAAGACTTTACCAATTTACTTTCTCTTGGTCTTTCACACAAATTCGAAACTTCTAATTTACTGGAGGCACTTTCTGATATCGAATAAAATCGTAAGTAGTTAATTAACTAATATTGAATTAATTCATTATTTTATTATACTTAATTCTCTTCTTTATTTCTTATTCTAGTAATAAGTAGTGACTAAATCATATCATATAAATAGAAGACAAAAAGAAATAAAAATGATCAGTATGTGCATTATAAAATAAATGAAGTTTAGAATAAGAATAATGCCTCTTTTTTTGCTAATAAATGATTCATCTCACAAATAAACCATTAATCTTGTCATGTTCTGGCATTGATTAATATGTAAAATATTTTTTATTTAAATGTAATTAACTTGATTAAATAACAAGATCAAATAAAATTTATTATCATTATATATTGCAAGTATATAGTACGTAGTACATACGGTACGTACGTACGTACAAATTTTGATGATCTTAAATTGAAATTTCACATGATTAAAAGAACCAATTAAATACCGAGGCTAATACAGTCTAGGATTATACGCGATATGGAAATGATCTGCAAATATATTAGAAGGGTATTCTAAAACCCGATTTCAATTGAAAAAACAAAAGCATTTTTTATTATCTGAAAATAACCATCAGTTTTAAAAAATCCTTTAAAATTTTTTTACAAAAAGTATCCTAAGACTATGTAGTTTAGGGATCCGTGTGGATCCCAGAGGCTTTATAAGGCCGTTGTGTACTAAATATCAAAAGTGTAACAATGCAGTCAATAATTAGGCAATAATTTGGCAAAAAATTGTACTACAGAATTGCAAATCTTTACTAAAAAACGTAAATATCTGCATTACACAAGTTTGAAAAAACCCTGACTGTAATATAGACGTGATAAATCTCTACCACCCCCTCCCCCCCTAAAAAATTACATAATAAATGGCGCACCTCTTAGGGGTTCATATCTCAAGCCATGCAGCTGCCTCTACCACATTGGGTAAGTATCTCAAGCCCGCATGCTGCCGCAACCGCTAACTTTCCTGTGACTTTCAGGACCCAGGTCTTAACATATTGAATTTGGTAATTGTGCAAACGGCTGTACTTCCCTCTATGGTGGTGAGGTACCTGGGCATGTTTCATAACAGGTTACCCTGCACTTCCAGAGCCTTTTATAGTTGGATGGTATCATGAGGCTCAGGGGTTCGTAACAGGTGCGTCATCATTTCTTTTTATGGTAATTCTTAGCAGTTGTAGCCCCCGGTTACACACTACATATACTTGTACCAGCTATACTAGTTTTGGTGGTCCTAGGCCCTTGTAATGTCCAAAGACTCCCATATGAGTACGCCCAGAGCTCCATTGGATCTTGACACGTACATATTTCCATGCTTTAGCCTCTTTTTGGTAGGTAATTCTACACAGCGCTAGAGGTGTTCCAAATCTGATAAGGCTAATTCTTTACTATAGATCCCTTTGTGTTCACCACTTTTCTCACCATTCCAGTTTTAGTTACTGCCCGGTTATCCTCCCAAGCAAGATCCCAATGCCGTCTTAGGGTTGTTGGTGCTACTTATGCTAACCGAGGATTTATACACACAACCTTTGTGTAATAGAACCTTCTGTAACAACTGCTATTACACATAGTGCCGACTTCTCCACAATGGACCTCCTTCCGTAAATTCCTAATCCAGACTTGTACTCACTTGGACTTCTCATAGTGAGTATATTCAAATATTCGTAGAATCTATATCTACTAGTACTTGAACCCGAAACCCGCTCATGGAGAGTTGGGTGCCTAGACCACTAGGCCGCGGGATCCCAACCCCATTATATATTTTTGTAATATTATTAAGTATACTATATTTTAAATATTTCGAATATTTTTGAATATTTTTTAAATTAAAAGTTTGATCTTTGTATTATTTTTAATAACTAAATTTTTTATTTTTTGAACTTATTCGAATATTTTTAATTATTTTTTAATATTTTCATTTTATATTTTAGTTTTTGTATTATTCCATTTTTAATTTTACTCATACAAATATTACAAACTATTTTTGAATATATTCACAATTTTTTAAAATTTTTGCAATTATACAAATTTATTTTTTTATTTATTTTAATTTTAATATTTTTATTTATATTATATACA